TATCCCTCCGCCTTTCAATTAACCCCACATGTGTTTATCAGCCAGGTTGGCACAGTAAACTAACTACCTCACCAGGTGACCGCCTGGCAGGATTTCTGAAATGCAGACCTTATGGATGGGGATGATTTTGTTTCCTGTAAGTCCAGGGAAGATCTGTGCTTTATGGAGAAAAAACCCACTCTCTGAGACTCTAACCATGCCATGAACACATCCCTCTGGTGCCTGGAGGTGAGCTCAGAAGCATTCTCAGCAGTGATTGCCATCACAAACTCTTTGTCTGTATGAGGGGGTGGGGTGGGGAGGGGAGGGCGGGGCAGGATACACACAAGTCAACAAATAGCATTGAGTCATTTCACTTTTGTCTAACTATATAACTTAATGAGGACATTCCAGGCTCCTGAGGCACTAATTAGGGTGCAGACTGATCAAAACAAGTAGTTCTTTTCCTCACGGAGCCTGCATCTGTCAGCATCACCTGCAGAGAATGCACATGGGAACACACTTGAGTGTGGTGTGCCAGAACATGGCTGTAGCTCCTCCACTGAAACTACTCTCAGAGACATACATCCCTGAAAGCTGGATAGGTGTGTACCTAAACCACTCGCCAGTGACTTGACTCCAAGTCATGACGAGCACACAGGTGCAGAGTCAATTTGTGCTCCATCGGGTTTTCACGACCATAATAGGAGCCCCAGCAGCACGGTCGGTTACTCACTGGACTGCTAACTGTACTGTCCATCAGCTGTTTGCAACCACCAGTCATTCTGCAGGAGAACGATGAGGCTTTAAAGAATTCGTTTTGGAAATCCACTGGAGCACTTCTACTCTGTTCTATAGGGCCACTATGCGTCGACATCAATTCAAGGGCAGTGAATTCGGTTTTGTTTTGGAATCTTTTAGAAGTAGATTGCCAGGGCTACTTTTTTTCGGAGGTTTCTCTGGGTGGACTTCAACCTCTAACATTTTGGTTAGCAGCCAAGTGTGTTAATAATTTTCATCAACCAAGGACTTCATCTATCTTTCTATCTATCTTTCTATCTATCTATCTATCTATCTATCTATCTATCTATCTATCTATGCACATATGTGTTTATGTACACACACATATATAGATATTAATGGTCAAATGTTATTTGGAGCTAGCTGAACTGTGTTGGACAATAGTTTGGTTCAAAGTTCCAGAGTCTAAAAGCACTCCAGTGTTGCACAGCTAGGCAGACTAAGTAGATTGGGGCATGGGAGCAAGAGGGAACGTTGGAAGGAATTCCCAGCACAGAGTGAAGTGAAGGGCAGAGAAGAAAGTTTCCTTTAAATGAGAAAGAATTCCCAACACTGGGAGGAGAAGGCAGTAAAGGGCATAGCTTAAGATGGGCGGAATGTGCACCAACCCCCACACATGACTGACCTTTGTATTCTGGCTGGCTAACAAGGGCACAAAATGAACTTTGGGTGCACATGCAATATTTGTCAAGGAGAGATGGCACTTGCAGACTAGCTGGGACGACTGGCTACAAAATCCATGGTGGGCATAGGGCTGCATAAACTCCCTCCCTCCAGGAGAACATTTTTCCTGTCTCTCATCTGAATTCTTTCTAAAGAGCATGGCACAAACCAAGGGGGAGGGACTTGGATCCCCCAGTCCCTCTCCTAAGAGCATCAACACGGTAAAGTGTTTGCTAAAGTCCCAGTGCTGGTTTGCAGAGTTAGCAGGGCAGAAGAAAAGAAGGAAAGGCCCTATGGCACTCCTCACAGGTCTATGAGCAGGATGATCAGTTGGGCATGTCCCTAAAATCTCTCTCAGTAGCTAAAAAGAAATATAGGAGACCCAATAAAAGGGGTGTGTGCTCGGCATTCTTTCAGACTGTGCAGTCTGTAAACCAAGGAAGTATGAGAAACTGTCATATCCCAGAGTTGGTGAGGGAAGCAGGGGAGCTCTGGAGAGACCGGGAGATCACATAAAAGCTGGAGTTCGGTTCATAGCAAGGTTCCAATGCCAGCATCCTCGTGTAACCAATGCACTGCAATGGAAGATGCTGACCCTTGGGGAAGCTGAGGGGGGTGCATAGGAACTCTGCCTCTGAGCAACTTTCCTGTAAATTAAATTGTATTTCTAGAATAGTTGTTTACAAAACAGTGATGGGTGCGGAGGGGCCTAGCCCACCGCCTACCAAGGAAGTTCTTAGTGCTTGAATGGAAGCTCTGTAGCAAGGGATTCAGGAGCCAACATTCTCCAGGGCCTGATCTGGAACATCCTTGGGCTATTCACAGCCTGGAAGCCCACAGTCAACCTTCCTCTCCAATCTCCTTCTTGCCATCTGGGAGGGATAGTTGTCAATCATGTTGATTACAGGTTGAAGGGAAATGTAATTTTTACCTATACAATTTTAGGAGGCTTTAAAAAAAAAGCTTAATTATTTAAAAAACAATAATAATTATCAGTGTTATCAGATGGCCACCAACAGTGCTGGTATTGAGTGATGGTGATATCTGATGAATATCAGATGACCACTTCTGGAATTTCTATACTTCCCGGGAAATTCACAGAAAGGTGATTTGTGCGAGTTTGAGGCATGTGAGACAACTGTTCATGAGCCAACCATGTATATGACAGTCATGGCCACTGGTGGAAATTGAAAAGTATCAGTTATAGAAATGTAAGCCCCCCACCCCCACCCCAAAGGAGAGAGAGGGAAGGCGAACAGATCACAAGTTATTCGAAAAATGCACATACTAAACGTTCTAATTACATTATTCTGGGACCTGAAGCCCATAGTTGGAATTTGAGAAAACACAGGTCCTCTCTCTTCTAGCTGGCTCCTTACCCTTAGGGCACAGATTCTCAAATGGCAGCACTTGGGCACTGGAATAATTCTGTTCCAGAAGTAGCAGGAGGTAATGGTGTCAATATACATTATCCTTACCACAGTTACTCCATCTTCAAAACGTGTCTAAAGCTTGGACCGCTACAACTTTACTCTTATCTCTGTAACTCTCTCTCCATACACACACTTAGCTGGTGATCTGATACATGAGGGAGGAGGAGAAGTTCTATGCTCAAATGATTCCGAGCAAAGCCCTGGAGTCTCCTGCTTAAGCAAGATCTTTGCTTCATTATTTGCTACTCTTATAACTTTGATCAGATTACCTAACACTGAGCATTGGAGGTGCTTGATGCTAGAATCTCTTTTCAGGTTCTGAAGAGCTAACAAGATGAAGAGTTGGGCAGGAACACGATGGAAACAATGTAAATGTCTATCATTGGGAGAATGGATCAATACCCTGGTGCAAACACACCATGTTAAAGAATAATGATGGAACTGTGAAATACCTCATGGCCTGAATGGATTTACTGAGTGAGTGAGGAGCCCTGTTGGCATAGTGGTTTATGCTTGGGCAGCCAACCATCAAGTCACCGGTTCAAAACAACCAGCCACTCTGAGGGATAAAGGAGGCTCTCTGTTCCCATAAAGAGTGACAGTCTTGGAAACCCACAGAGACAGTTCTACCCTGTCCTATAGGGTCAACAGGAGTTGGAATATACTCAATGAGTCTGCTGAGTGACTTAATCACAAAAGGAAAAATATACTATGAGACCTTGTAAAGAAAAAAAGAAAATCAAGAAAAGATTTGCATACTAAAAGAAACAGATTGATTGATACCAAGAGTGGGAGGAGCAGGTAGAGAAAGGGAAGAATAGGTGAGAAGACAGATATGTGCTAACCTGGATGAAATGGAACGTAATATTCAACGAAATGGAGACGACAAAAAAGAAATAGTGGTGGCGGGGAACAGGGCAAGTCACTGGGAGATTAAATAAATTATTTCAGTTTTGAGATGTTGAATGTAAAACTGATCTGATATGTAAAGCCTCCAATTCACAATTCAAATAATTTTTTAAAGAAAAAATTTCTCAGCATTTTGTCCTGGTCTTTGTGTTAATTAGCAAAATAAGTTTTTTTTCCCCCAAAACAAAAATGAAAATAGAAACAAAATAGTGAGGCAGGAGAGGGCATAGTGCAACCTCGGTAGTGGTGGGTAGAGGTGGGGTGGTGCAAATGGTTAACATACTTAATTGCAAACCAAAAGGTTTGAGTACACTCAGAAGTACTGTGGAAGAAAAGCCTGACAAGACACTCCCCCAAACTTAGCCATTTTACAACCCTATGGAGCACATTTCTACTCTGACGCACATACGGGTCACCATGGACCAAGATAACTACATGTCAGTTGATTAGCAAGTAGAATCCCAGACGGGGCTGGTATCTGAACCCTTAAATAAAGAGAGATTCCCAACCCATCCTGGCCTGGCTGGAGCAGGCTCATTTCTCCAGTGGGGACCTCCCAGAGAGCAGGTGATGCC